AATCTCGCAGATCCAACTTTGTGAAAACGCGTCCTTTCCTCACCGTTGCGAGCAGGTCATCTATCTTGGGCATGGGAAAGGCTGTGGGCTTGGTTTTTGAGTTCAAAATTCTATAGTCCACCACAAGCCTTTTTTGGGGCGTGTCCTTCTTCTTCACAAAGAATACAGGACTGCCCCCACTGCCTTCGACTCCCGGATGAAACCGCGCTTCAAGTTGAGGTCTATGAACTCCCTGAGTTCCTGCAGCTCGTCTTCGGACATGGAATACAGTTTCCCGGTTGGCAGCGTCGCCCTGGCAGGAGGTCAATCTTGCAGTCATAAGACCTGTGGGGAGGTAGCTTGTCCGCTTCCTTCTCGCAGAAAACCTCCAAAACGCTGCGTACTTGAGTGGCACTGCTTGCAGCGTGCCTAATTGTAGCTGCGGGTCATCCTCTTCCCCTTCCGGGCTAGGCAGAATGCAATGTTCCGCACAGTATGAGGAGCCGAAGGTCAGTTGTCGCTGGTACCACGCCAATGCTGGGCTGTGCCTGTGCAGCCAACTCATGCCTAATACTATAGGCGTGTCCGACAGTTGGGTGACATTGAAGCTGATGACTTCTCGGTGATTCCCAATTTGCATCACCATCGGAGGCGTTTGCTGCACCACCTGCCCCCAGCAATTCCCTGCCATCCACCGTGACAACTTTCAGAGGCAGCGTGGCTGGCAGGAGTGCTATGTTGTGCTCTTGAAGGAAATCCAGTCCTATGAAGTCTGCGTTACTACCAGAGTCAATGGTAATCGGCACTTCCATAGTGAGTCCATTGGGTAGTTGGAGCGATGCTGTGAGCTGCACCACTGGTTTGGGCGGGAGGGGGTCTGTGGGCTGCAAAATCTCTGGGGACGGCTTCATTGACTTGTCTGGTTGGGCCCCAGTGCCTCTTCCTCCAACCAGACTCTGTCGTTTCCCTGCTGTGTTTCTCTCTGCTGAGTTGCTTCTGTTACTGTTGCTGAGGCTGCAGTGTGCTTGTGGAGCCTCTGGGGACACTCTTTCGCCATGTGCTGAGCACTGTCGCAGATGTAGCACTTCCTGTTCCCTCTAGGAGGCTTCGCTTTGACTGCTCCCGGTGTTAAGGCTCTGGTTGTTGACTGAGCCCTGGCGCCTCCAATCTCCATCGGTTGCTCTCCCCCTCCTTGCGGAGGTGGGGATTGCACACGCGCTGTATCCTTGGGAAAGAGGGGAGGTGCTCTCACTGGCGTACGTCCCCAACGTCCTTCTTCTCTGTTCCATGGACGTTCTTCCAGACGCACCCCAATTTGCAGCGCCCGCCGGACAACCTCCTGAGTGCTCTTTGGTCTCTCCCCCCTTGCAATCTCATCTTTCACATTTGCATTCAAGCCTTCCCAAAAAAGGTCTCTGACTGGGGCAGAATCCTTCTCCCATCCCAGCGCATGGACTAATGCAAAAAAAGCGGGAATGGTACTGCCTTACACTGGCTCTGCCTTGTTTGAGCCCATGTATGTCTTTTCTGGCGATATCAATGTCTATATTTGATAAAAAACACGAATCCATCGCTTTAATGAATGCATCCGCATTTTGGAGCGCCGGATCCTTATCTCTCCACAGATTGCGCAGCCACGCTTTAGCTTCCCCATGCAAATGGGACAAGATAAACCCCACCTTCTCTTGCTCATCTCTAAAGTCTTTATCCAGCAGTTCCAGCGCAAACAGCACGTCTGCTCGGAAGTTAGGGTACTGCTGCAAATTCCCATCGAAATGAGATACCAGGCTGCCTCCTCTTTTCCCCAGCCCAATCCCCTCTGATTTGGGTCCCGGTTGCCCCTGCTTAGCAAGCACTTCCAACCTGGCTTGGAGATCCCTGCAGGCGGCAGCCGCTTCCTCTTCCCTTTTCCTGGATGCGAGTACCTCCGCGTTGAGTTGTGTCACTGCATTTTGCAGGGCTGCTAGTTGCTGTTCTGTAGTCATCTTGCCTGACTTTTGTGAGCTCGCAAAGCACCAATCTTCTTCCCTCGCTGCGTCCACTCACGTTACGAGGTTTTTGGTGCAAAACTTTATGAGATGGAGCTTACTGTCAGAGCTGGCTCCAGGTCCCAGCTCACAGAGGACCAACGCTAGCCGGCAGTAATGTGCAAAAGTCTTTATTGAAGTACAGTTTCCATTTTCAAGCCGGAGCGCCCCAGCTCTACGTCTAGGGGTTAGATCGGCGAAGCTCCATCTGAGTCTCCGCCCCTGTACACCAGTTTAAGATTCTAGCCTTACTCCACCTCTTACGTCTCTCCTTTCTCCTCTGGGTCCTGCTACCCCCGGGTCCCTTCCTTCCTGGATTCTTCTGACGCTGACCCTCCTGACTCCTCCCCCTCTTTTCGGCGGGCTTTGGGACCTGGCTCCCTATCCGGGCTGCCAACTGCGCCGCCCTCCTGTACATTTGAACTTGGCGCGCGCCCCCAGCCTTCAACCTTCCTCTCGACCGTTTCCTCGCTCCCCGATGGAGGCGTGGCCAATCCTGACTCATGTCCTCCCACTGGCAGTGCGCCGCCTGATCCCGATGCCTGGGACTCCTCCCCTACTGCACTCTGGTGTGGACGCTGGTCCTGATTTCCAACTGCTGCTCTCTGAGTCCCCTCTGGCCCCTTCTTCCTGGGGTGTCCCCTCGGCACCCCCTTGCTCTGACCAAGGGAGCCCCTTTCTGTGAATCTTCCGATTCGCTGGAAAGACTCAGAGACCTCGGACCGCTGTCATCGCTAACATTTCCTTCGGACTCCTCCCCCTCGCTCTCTATTTCCTCCCTTTCCTGTGCCTCTGCTCCTGAACCCCTGACAGCTACCTCCAAACCCGTACATTCTCTTTGGAGATCCTGTTCTGGGTGGCCTCACTAAGTGAAGCAGCTACCAAGCAGACGACCTTTTCAGTAGTGCTACATTATCTATGACAGGCTTCCTCAAACTCGGCCCTCCAGATGTTTTTGGCCTACAACTCCCATGATCCCTAGCTAGCAGGACCAGTGGTCAGGGATGATGGGAATTGTAGTCTCAAAACATCTGGAGGGCCGAGTTGAGGAAGCCTATCTATGAAATGGCTAGCACCAACTGAAGATGTATTTATTCACCTAGTCTTTGAAACTTTTTTTAATAATAAAAAAATCCAGGATGTAAATTATTTGATGCTACCTATATGCAAGGAAGTGTTTTGCTGTCTATTGGTAGTTTTTTATTGTGATTGTATATTGCTTTTTCAATATTTTGTTGTAAGCTGTCCAGGGAATGCCTATATCAATCAAATGAATGCTGATTGAATGAATGAATTTATCTCCTGCCTTTCTATTAGCATACTAACAAATTATGTATTAGTAAGCAAATATACATCAGGCAGCTAACGAGATCAAATAAATGAATTGCATGACACTACAAAGTAGATTGATAGCTAGAAACTTTTTTTGGTGCTGGGAATTGATTGTTTTGAGCAAGGCTGGCCTGGGGAGGGGGGAGAAAGATTGACACCAGGACTTGCTGCCCTGGTATATCTTGCTGCCTGAGGCAGTTGCCTCACCTTGCCTAATGGTCTGGGCAGCCTTGGTTTTCAGTGGCCTCGTCAGAGACGGTAGAAGGATGCAGTCCTTCATCATTCCTTTTCCTACGAACAGACTTCATTAGAAGGTGGTGAACTCTCATTCACTGGAGGTTTTTAAGTAGAGGTTGGATGACCATCTGTTGTGGATGATTTAGTTGAGATTTCTGCATTGCAGGACTTTGCGGACTAGATAATCCTCTAGGTCCCTTCCAATTCTTCAATTTATTATTATTATTATTATTATTATTATTATTATTATTGACTGATCACCATCCCACAGAACAGAGACCTTATTTCTTTTTAAACCTGAGAACAGGCTTTGAAATCTAATCATATTCATGAGCATGCCTTCAATATTATTTATTTCTGCATGTCTGTGTTTTGCGAAGTAATTATAGCTTTAAACATTGACCATGCTAATGTGGCATATCCTGGTAACATAGTGCATGTTCCCCATAGTAAATCCCTATTTTAAGGTTTTCTATCACAATCATTTGGAAATGTAATAGGGCTGAAACCTGGGATTCATTTTGAGGGGGGGGGGGTGGAGCAAAAACTGTTGCATTAAGGAAATAAGAGACCAGTTTCAGCTTTTTGCCATTCACAGGGATATAAAACACATTTGCTTGCATTACCTCATTTTGGTTTTGTGGTGCTGCTGTCCAGTGTTTTGAAAAACAAGAATATACCTTACATTTTAATTTGGAAGGAAATTAGCTCTCCACAAGGATGCCTATGTTGTGCTTTTTCGGTGAATGAAACCTGTGGACTGATGCACCCTGCAGCTGCTTTCCCTTTCTAATTACTGTTCTGGTTCTGATTGACATGTCAGGTCTCCTGAAACAAGCAGGCAGCAAGGTATGGAGAGCATTTAATTAGGAGTAGGCTCAAGCTACGACTTGTGTTGCTTATCTCCTAAATACACAAAGGGAAATGTCCAGGCTGCACTCGGAATCTGCATCTGTTTTCACATTCCCCACAAACAGGGAGGTAATTATCAAATGATACTGTAGGTCATGGAGAATAGAGAGAGGACCAAAATGTAAGGTGGGCACCGCAGAGATGGTGATAAGTTGGGAATTTTTACGTGGAAAGCCCTCTGTTGACATGTAAAGGCGAGCTAGAATTATTACCCTGGGGGGCAAGGAGAGAATGAAGAAGAAGAGTTTGGATTTGATATCCCGCCTTTCACTCCCCTTCAGGAGTCTCAAAGCGGCTAACAATCTCCTTTCCCTTCCTCCCCCACAACAAACACTCTGTGAGGTGAGTGGGGCTGAGAGACTTCAAAGAAGTGTGACTGGCCCAAGGTCACCCAGCAGCTGCATGTGGAGGAGCGGAGACGCGAACCCGGTTCCCCAGATTACGTGACTACTGCTCTTAACCACTACACCACACTGGCTCTCGTTGTAGTTGGTTACTAAACCATTGTGTAAAGGGCCTCTGCCTCCTCTGTTAAATCTCACAGCACTCACATTTTAATATAGGAAGATGTGCACTTTGTACACAGTCCAGATTTGGATTTATTTGGTCCTCTGAAAACTCATGCTGATCTTCCTTGATTGGCAACTCTTGCTTCCACTGACTTCTAGGGCTCATTGACGCCATTGTGGACCTTGAATGTCAGGCTTCAGGGAATTGGCTTCAGGGAATTGGCTTCCTCCCCCTGTGGCAGTAGATAAGCAGAACAAAGGAAACGAAGTCTTCTTACCAGTTAGAAACTTTTATAATCACAGCGAGAGAAGAAAGAACCCATCTCCTAGATTGGCGGTGCTCCCAATTAAGGATAATAATACCTTTATTGTCATTGTACAACCTGTGTACAATGAAATTAAACGAGCCTCCCCCCCAACACTCAATCTCTTATCAAACAACACACCACCTCGCAAGTCAATTTTGCTATGTTATTTTTTGTTCAACAGCCTAACAGCCCACGGATAGAAGCTATTTTTAAGCCTGTTGGTACGTCCCTATTAATCTACATCACTTCTGCGTCTTGTACTCTCTGTGTTTTGTGTGCTATCTGTTCTGTTACTTTCTGAGTTTGTCACGGTCTGGGTCACAGGCGATCGGAGTCCCGGCTGGGGACGTCGGGACCGGGGGCAAGATGGTGGGGTAGGAGCAGGAACGGGAATCCAGAAGCCAGGAGTCAGAAAGCCAAGATTCCGAGGGTCAGAGAGCCGGGAGTCAAGAAGCCAAGAGTCCGAGGGTCAGGAAGTAAGGAGTCACGAAGTCAAGGGTCCGAGGATCAAGAAGCAAGGAGTCACAAAGCCAGGGGTCTGAGGATCAAGAAGCAAGTAGTCACAAAGTCAGGGGTCCAAGGATCAAGAAGCAAGGAGCCACAAAGTCAGGGGTCCAAGGATCAAGGAGTCATGAAGTCAGGGGTCCGAGGATCAAGAAGCAAGGGGTCACGAAGTCAGGGGTCCAAGGATCAAGAAGCAAGGAGTCACAAATTCAGGGGTCCGAGGATCAAGAAGCAAGGAGTCACAAATTCAGGGGTCCGAGGATCAAGAAGCAAGGAGTCATGAAGTCAAGGGTCCGAGGATCAAGAAGCAAGGAGTCACAAAGTCAGGGGTCCGAGGATCAAGAAGCAAGGAGTCACAAAGTCAGGGGTCCGAGGATCAAGAAGCAAGGAGTCACAAAGTCAAACGCAGCAAGGCAGGGAACGTGTTGCTGTGGCAAAGAGCCAAAGGGAAAATGCTGACCTTATATCCCTTCCCGGCTCTTGCCACCAGGTGCTGTAAGTTACCAATCGGCCTCACCTGTGTGGCTGCGCCTTGCCTCTTCAGAACAAACTTAGGAAGGTCCCAGTTCTGCAGAGTCCTATTGGTCACAGGGCCTGGCTCCTGTATGCACACCTGACAGAGCTCTTCTTGACCTTGGAGAGAGCGGAGGAATGCTTTCCAGAGACAGTGAATCTGTTAACCCTCTCTCTCCCAGTGTTTCTTCTCCTAGCTGTTTCGTAGCCAGCACTTCCCAGCTTCTGCCTTATGAACTATGTCCCTCTGCAAACCACTGGTCCAAATCTATACTGTCGTCCTGCTCCTGGGAAGATTCAGGATCAGGATCAGAAGCAGGGGAAGAGGGAGGTTCTCACCATTACTCCTCAGTGCAGCCCTCCTCAGCACGGTCCCTGACACTGAACGAACAACAAAAGACACTGAGCAGCACAGACAGAATAAAGCATGTACAAACTTTTTATATTCACCAGTTGCAAATGTTTCCTTTGTAAAATAGGATAGTTTTTTAATGAACTGTGTTTATTTTGAAAGGTAAGAATCTGGCTTACATCGAGTCAGACCATTAGTCTACCTAGCTCAGTATTGTCTACACTGACTGCCAGCAGCTGTCCAGGGTTTCGGCTGGGGGTGAGATGCTAGAGATTGAACCAATGACTTTCCGCAGGCAAAGCACATGCTCTACAACCGAGCTACAATGCTTCCCCTTTTGTTCTTGCCTGCTATCAGGAGTAGAACCTGATCCAGCATATGCTGATTAAAAGTGACTGAGAGATGACTCCATTTGCTGCCATTCTGCCACAAAAAGGTTGTAATAGATAACACATCTGACCCGTCCACTGACAGCTCTGATGGAGTTACAACAGATGATCATTACCGAAAATCGATAAAAGTAGAACTTGGGGGCACTAAGTGCAATATTATTGCAGGCTTGACTCTCATTTTCTTTGGCACTTTCCATTAATTTATTATTGCATAATGACTCTCTATATTCTCTGCAGCTCCTGTGAATGATTTGCCCAAATCTCATCAATCAAACTACCAACATAATCTTGAAATGATAAGATGGTTTTCCTCCCATACCTTCTTCCTGAGCCTGCCCTTAACAATACGATGGATTTAATGTTCATATTCTTCCACTAAAATCTAAGTCATTAAAATCACTTCCTAAGACTTTCAAGATATTTTCCTAGAGATAATAATAATGGATATGAAAGGTCAGGAGATAGTCAACTCATATTGTTAATAATAAAAAGTCAGAACTGTGGACAGAATGAAGATAGTTAGGCATTCAGAAGAATGGTTGTAGTGAGAACGATTCGTTTTGCTAGACTTTTAAGGAAAGTCTATGATGACAAAACACATTGCATTTTCTAGATGAGAGAGGGTGTGCTTTGATTAAAATGAGGATGGTATCCCATACTATTGCAACATACTTCTAGGTGTACAATTGAATTTCCTCTTCTCCCGAGCTCCCTCAAAATTAGCTCAGGGGTCTGGGGAACATCCCAGAGCAGATTAGGGCATGCACAGGGAGAGAAGAAGAAACCAAGGTCCCATTGCACTAGTGGAACTGCACACGAGGCTTTGTAATAATAATAATAATAATAATAATAATAATAATAATTTTTATTTATACCCCGCCCTCCCCAGCCAAGGCCGGGCTCAGAGCGGCTTACAAGCAATAATAAAAACAAGTTAAATGATTACAACTTAAAAACAAAATTAAAAATACAACATTAAAATATTGAAACATTAAAATATTAAAATGTAGCCTCATCGCAGAAGGAGAAGGAAAAGAAAAAAGAAAGAGAGGGAGGGAATCAAATTGGCTCCAAGCCAAAGGCCAGGTGGAACAACTCTGTCGTACAGGCCCTGCGGAAAGAAATCAGATCCTGCAGGGCCCTGGCCTCGTGAGGCAGAGCGTTCCACCAGACCGGAGCCAGAGTTGAAAAGGCCCTGGCTCTGGTTGAAGCCAATCTAACTTCCTTAGGGCCCGAGACCACAAGGGTGTTGCTATTTATGGACCTTGAGGCTCTCCGTGGGGCATACCGGGAGAGGCAGTCCCGTAGGTATGAGGGTCCTAGGCCGTGAAGGGCTTTAAAGGTCAAAAGCAGCACCTTAAATCTGATCCTGTACTCCACCGGGAGCCAGTGCAGCTTGAAAAGCACTGGGTGAATATGCTCCCATGGCAGAGACCCCATGAGGAGTCTCGCTGCAGCATTCTGCACCCGCTGGAGTTTCTGGGACAGCTTCAAGGGCAGCCCCGCGTAGAGCGAATTACAGTAGTCAAGCCTGGAGATGACCGTCGCATGGATCACTGTGGCCAGGTCGGGGCGGGAAAGGTAAGGGACCAACTGCTTGATGCGACGAAGGTGGAAAAATGTCACCTTGGCTGTTGCTGTAACTTGCGCCTCCTTGGAAAGGGAGGCGTCAAGGATTACACCCAAACTCTTAACGGAAGGCAATGGCACTAATTGGGTCCCCGCAAGAGAAGGGAGTTGGTCCCTCATCCCCATGCCATCCCAATCCAGCCATAGGACCTCTGTCTTCGAAGGATTTAGTTTCAATCGGCTCCCACGAAACCATCCAGCCACAGCTTCCAAGCATCTGGTCAGTGTGTTCGGGGCCGAGTCGGCGTGGCCATCCATCAGCAGATAGAGCTGAGTGTCATCAGCATATTGGTGACAGCCCAGCCCAAAGCTCCGGATAATCTGGGCAAGGGGGCGCATAAAGATGTTAAAAAGCATTGGGGAGAGGATTGCGCCCTGCGGCACTCCACACACCAAGGAGTGGCGCGACGACATTTCCCTCCCTAGTGCCACCCTCTGTCCCCGACCAAAGATGAAAGAGCACAGCCAGTTATGGGCTATGCCTTGTACCCCCACGTCTGCGAGACGGTGGTCCAGAAGATCATGATCAACCATGTCAAAGGCTGCTGACAAATCTAAAAGGATCACCAGTCCTGACCCGCCTTGATCCAGCTCTCTATGGAGATCATCTGTTAGGGCAACCAGAGCTGTCTCGGTCCCAAAACCAGGACGGAAACTGGACTGAAATGGATCTAAAGCCGATGTTTCCTCCAGAAACCTACCAAGCTGTTCAGCAACCGCTCTCTCAATTACCTTACCCAAATATGGAAGATTTGAAACTGGGCGGTAATTGGATAGGTCTAAGGGATCTAATGAAGTTTTCTTTAAGAGTGGACATACCACTGCTTCCTTCAGTTCCCCTGGGAATGTCCCCGTGTCAAGGGACAAATTGATAATTTCAACCAGGGGGGTCCGCGCAACAGCTGGACACTCCCTAATCAGCCAAGATGGGCACGGATCAAGGAGGCAGGTGGTGGGCCTACTAACTTGGAGGAATCTATCCACATCAGCAGGGAGTATTCGATCGAAATGGTCCAACACTGGACCTGAAGTCAGTCGAGGGGCCTCCAGTTCAGTCACTGTATCTAAATTGGCAGGGAGGTCACGGCGGAGCAACAGGACTTTCTCCGCAAAAAAGCTCGCGAATGCCTCACAGCTGTGGGTTAAATTTGTACTTAAATTTGGTTGTCCTCCTAAGGACGTTATTGATCTAATTATTCTAAAAAGTTGTGCCGGGCGAGAGCTAGCGGATGCAATGGAAGCTGCAAAGTAAGATTTCTTAGCAGCTTTCATAGCCATCTCGTAGGCTTTCATAAGCGTCCTATAAGACGTTCTTGAGGCTCCGTCACGAGTCCGTCGCCATACTCGCTCTAGCCGTCTGAGATCCCGCTTCATTTTCCGGAGCTCCTCAGTAAACCAAGGGGCTCGGTTTCGACGGGGTCACAGAGGGCGCTTAGGCGCGATCTCATCAATGGCTGCCAAGAGCTGGTTATTCCAGTCCTCAACAAGGTCATCTAATGAGTCGCCAGGAGGAGCAGGGTCTCGCAAGGCTTGTCGGAATCTATCAGGATCCATCAGTTTTCGTGGACGAGCCCAAATAGGTTCGCCAACCGAGCAGGGGAGGAGCGGGAGGTCAATCTTGGCTTTCAGAGCGTAGTGATCAGACCATGGCACTTCCACAGGTGGGAGCATGATCACATCTATGCCAGCCCCAAAGATCAGATCCAGCATGTGGCCTGCTTGATGAGTGGGGCCCAAAACAAACTGGGAGAGCCCTAGTGTTGCCATGGAAGTCACTAGGTCCAGAGCCTGTGAGGAGGGAGTGGCATCGGCATGGACGTAGGCTTCCCAGTAGGCTTGGGAACTCCAAGGCCCAGCCTGCCACCACCTCCAGCAGGTCTGACAGGGTGGCTGCCGGTGTGCTGGGTGGTCGGTACACCAGCCAGACAGCCAAGCTCTCCTTGGTGCCCCACACGAGACCAACACATTCAATGCCGGAAATCGCCTGTGATGGCAGGGCTCTGAAAGAGCAATCCTTCCGGATTAACAACACTACTCCTCCCCCCCCCGACCCACAGACCGCGATTGATGGAGGACAGAGAAACCTGGTGGTGTTATCTCATGTAGGGAAACTACTTCGCCTTCCCGTACCCAGGTCTCCGTCACGCAAGCCAGGTCAATCCCCTGCGAGACAAAAAAGTCATGCATGGTGGCGGTTTTGTTGCCTATGGACCTGGCATTGCACAGCACTAATGACGGAGGTGGGTAATCCTTGCTCTCCCTACCCTCATCCCTTGGGATGGAGTGTAGATTGGAAGGGGTTCGAGGATCACTGCATCTCGAAACCCTTCGCCGATAGAGATTTCTAGCCCCACTGCCATTCCTCCCTAGCCCTTCAATAGTGGAAATCCCAGACCCCATACTAGCCTCCCCAATAGAGGGGTAACATCCCCTCAATAACAAATCATCCTTGGGCCAGGACTCCTGGGTCAAAATGGTATGGGGAAGAGGTGGAGGTTTGATAGGGTAAGTATCCCTAGAAGATAAAACCCAACCAACCGCACCCCAAGCGGGGAGGACAGTCTCATGCTCCCTCCTGGGTTGACTGGAGGATTGTTGGTTCTATCTGTGGCTGTGGGAGTATTAATGAGGTATGTGCTATAAAATGTGGATCACTGGCTAACAAAGAGCCAGCTTCGAATACGGAAGATCTGTCCATCCTGTCTCGCCAGGAGTACAGTAGAGAAGGTTGATCATTCTGATAAGTTTTTGGAACATTAGGCAAAGGTCCAGATGTAGATTTGGTGCTGGATATCTCTAGATTGTCAGCAACATAGAGTTCTTTAGGTGTTGTTGCCACAGAAATGTCGGAGGCGCCAAATTCCTCATCTAATTCGGTGTCGTTTGAAAAGGGAACAGGGAGTTGCACTGATGTCTTTCTATGGGATAAAGAGCTGTTGGCCACCTTTAAATATTGTGCTCTAGGCTCTATTGTCCTTATATTTTGGGTAGAAATCTCAGTCTTTATACTCATTAGCCTCTTCTTCAGGTCTTGTAATTCTAGGCTTACAGGGTTCTTTTCTTCCTTCAGGCAATTAGTGTTTCTAGTGTTGAGCTTGGTTTCCCTTATCCGCATTAGCTTTGACTCTATGCAAGGGACCAATTGCCTCCTTGTTTTGTCCTTAAATACCCTCACTGGGCGGAGAGAATGGAACCACCATAGAGTATCCTTTATCTCCATGAGTCGAGATGGGAGGGCTGATGACCTAAAGGTCATAAATAGGCGCGTGGTGTTTCTCAAGGTAGGCAGGAAGTGGAAATTTTCTGGATCTACATTTTGGTAATGGTAATTCAGGAGCTGAGACAAGGACATAGTAATTTGTCTGCGGTTCATCCACCTATGAGCGTATAGGTGAATCTCAAGCATTATCTGGTTCGTTTGTAAGACTTGACAGGACCTCACTTCATCCATAGTTTGAGTTGGTGAGTTGTTAACAAAGTCATTTCTTATCATCCTTTTAAGCCCTTGGGCATTTAAAGGGGAGGAACTAGTATCCAATTGTTTCTCAATGTTAACTATTTTGGTGAGGATTTAATTCAGTCTTTGAAGAACCAGAACCATAGTTTCTGCAGACAACATGCAAATCTCTTGGTAGGGGAGCGTATCCGGAATCAGTTGAAAGCAGGCTCCTCTAATATCTTGTTCTAGAGGCCTGGGTGGGTCAGTGTTAGGAGTGGGAGGAACCCCTCCTCCTCCTGCTCTTGCCCTCTTGGATGGATTAGCTTTTTCTGGGAGAAGGGGGGGTCGGGTGATTGCTATCCTCCTTAAGGGGGGGGTGAGGTTCCCCCAACGTTGTTACTCACTGTTTGTTCTATTTGCTCCATTTTCTCGGCTTCCTCAACCCGCTCTGTTTCTGAGCCAGGGAAGATGGTGTTGGCTCTCTACCGATTCTTTGTTTTAGAGGAATTGTGAGTCCCAGTTATGCTCTTCTGGCTCTTTGCACCTCGTTTTCTCCTTCCGGCAGGCATTCTCAATAAGGAAGTGACAGTTGGAGGAGTGTCACTCCAATGAGGAGTGACAGTTGGAGAACTAGGCCTCAAACATTCCGCCTAAAAGAGCAGGTTTTAGCAGGGAAAGCCACCCCTCCCCCCCCCCCGAACACACTCAGTGGTGGAGATTTAAAGCACAGACCTGGAAAGAACAGGGCAAAATTTAAGTGTGGATAAGCCCTTAGATTTAAAAAGAAGGAGATGTTCCTGCCTCTCTCATGGCGCTCAACCCTTCCGGGCTGCCCTCGGGATGTAGCATATCAGCTTTCTACTGAATATAGTGCCTGACTCACAGTAACTCCTCAAACAGTTATTTAGACAGGCAAAAGAATATAGATGTCTACTTCTAGTAGTATGAGGATGAAGAGGAGTAAGATACTGAAACAGGTTTATAAAACCCTTGAGATGTAATTGCCAGGGAAAAGAAGAAGAATGGATATATTAATTTGTATAAAAGTCCTTGTATACAATGTGTATGGTTGCAAAACTGGAGCATTAAAAGCTTTCTGCACTCAAGGGTGGGATTTTACGAGTGTGACATGATTTATTAGCAAAACATTTGGATTTGTACCAGCTCCATTTGAAATACTTTATTACAGAACTGCTGCTCAAGGGGCCATTGTTGAAAACTACTTAAATGGAGTATATTTTTTTGTATTCCTCTATGCTAATCTGGTTTACAGGTGAACAGAATATCAGGCACATGTCAGCTAGGGGCAAATTTGCCCTTGATTTGCATATTGCAACAGGAAGGTGCATTAATCTTATAGCCATGTTGCAGATGGGTAATTGATGCTTCACCCACCCCACAACAGTAGGCTATAGTACTAATGAGAGCAGAACAATTCAATTGGGGACCCTGTGTGACAGCCTGAGTTATTATTCAACAATCTCCTTATGTTGCAGTTTTGGATATCGGTGGGGCTTCTGAATAGAAATGAAAAACACACAACAAAACTTCTTTCAGATTGTACTGGAAATAGTAATGAGAAACCCAGCAATTCTGAAGCTCCAAAGGGCTGCCTTCAAATTACATAAAAGGGTTAGCAGTGCACTCTTATAAATGTTTCTGTTCAGAAGGATGCTCTATTGACTTCAATGGGAATTACCTTCGAGAAAGTGTGCATAGGACTGCAGTCTAGGCTGATTTCCCTCATCAAAGCCATCAGTGATGATAATGATTGTTGTAAGATACATTAATAGATCCTCTGCAAGCGCCAGTGTGGTATAGTGATTAAGAGCAGTGGACTTGTAATCTGGTGTACCGGGTTCGATTCCCCACTCCTCCACATGCAGCTGCTGGGTGACCTTGGGCTAGTCACACTTCTCTGAAGTCTCTCAGCCTCACTCACCTCACGGAGTGTTTGTTGTGGGGGAGGAAGGGAAAGGAGATTGTTAGCTGCTTTGAGACTCCTTAGGGTAGTGATAAAGCGGGATATCAAATCCAAACTCTTCTTCTTCTTCTTCAGTTTCATTCTGATAATGAAACATTTTGAAAGAAGAATGGATAACAAAATGCCTAAGTATGGTTGCCAATTGGCCAGTAAACAGTGGGGAGCAGGAGATTACTGGGTTGGCAGCTTGTTCTTGAGTACTCTGGCAGGATTTATTTTTATTTATTTTTTTAAAGTGAACTGTTGCATTCATTGAGTGAGCAAGCATATTAATTTGTGGTTCGAGGACCCGACCCCCGCGATGTGAAATAAATACACAAGGACATGTGATATAAGGTTAATGGGCAAGAAAAGGCCACAACTTTATTGATTACAGCAGTGAAAAGGTATTGGCTTAGGCATTGGATGTCTAAAACAAGGGGGTTTATTCACCAGTAGGTGGAGCCTGTTGATGCTAATCCAACTATAGGCTCTCCCCTGATGTCACCGGGGGTCGTGCCATGGCGTCCCGCCAAGCAGGCATCGGACATGACCGCCAGATTCCTTTAACGGAATATCCAAAAATTGAAGGCATAGGCGATGGCCACACCCAGCCCTTCGACACACCACAACGCATTATTCCAATGCCTAACCTACCCACCAATACCACAAAAAGTTGTGACGATTGCTACGAGGTAGGCGAAAAAACCAAAAGGCCTAATGCCAAATGGAAAAATTCCTACCAGGCCCCCTAGACAACCAGGGCGACCAACCTAAGGTCCATAGCAAGGCCAAAGAACAAAGACCCTGAGCTAAAAGGGAGTGGAGGGTGGGTGACTTGCGACGAGAGGACGGAGAAGAATGAGGCCGAGGAGAGGCTGGCGCCGCCGCAAAGGCTGCTGAACACGCCCCTCGAAGGCACCTGGTTGGATGCCTGCCGAGGGGGCGTGGGCGCCAGCCAGGTGAGAGGAGGAGGCAGGGGGCTAATGCCCCCTGCTGGGGCGGTGCTCGGGCTCCCGCCCACAACCACTCCCCTCTCTTCCAGGGAGGAGAGTCTTTAGCATGCATATTTGTGGGTTTTTTCCAAAAAGTTTTATTCATTTTATAACACAAATAAAAAACACAAACAGAAAAGACAAACAATACGAACAAATCCTTGTCATATCCTTATTTTTCTAAACATTGTCAAGTGGGCTTCCACAAGTCCCACCTATCTGATTTTCATTTTACTTCATCTTTAGCAGTTTACATATATCATAATTTCTAACCATTTTTTATCACACTTAAAATAACTTCACATTTTACCACTTACAAATAACACTATTTTAAAATACCCTATCTTCTACTTCTAACCCTACAGCCTATATCCACTTCCAAAGCTATTCTAAGATTTAAATATTAACATATTTTTTTCAAATATTCCTTAAACTTCTTCCAGTCTTCTTCCACTGTCTCTTTTCTCTGGTCTTGGAGTCTCCCGGTCAGTTTGGCAAGTTCCATATAGTCCATCATCTTCATCTGCCATTCTTCGATAGTTGGTAAATCTTGTTTCTAATTTAGAAAGTGGAGCCAGTCATTGGGTGTCACATGCTACCGAGTGTGAGATTGCAGTGTTTGTGGTTGCAGTTCAACCACAGCCTCCCTCCACAGGCTCTGTTTTGCTCAAGGTGGAAGACCACAAGGGAAAGGAGGAGGTAGCAGCAGAACAATCTGTATGTATGGCAACAGGTTGCTCTCTTCCTTGTGCAACTTGCTTCCAGCAACCAATGCTAGAGACCAAGTCTAGATAGACATTGTCCACCATGGCTATCAGCATGAGTCCCAGGGATGTGCTTCCTGACTTGCACACCAGGATATTCAGGGTCCATTTAATTTTATTATTTATTGCCCAGGGTGTCCTCATTTTATCCTCTTGGAAACCTCTGAGGTAGGCTAGGTTGTGAGATAGTGATTGACCAAAAGGCTCACCCATACTCTAGTTTTCATACTCTAGCCCACAGCTAGATTCTGTGGCCCTCCAGGTGTTGATGGACTCAAACTCATTTTAACCCTATCCAGCATGACCAATGATCAGGATGGCAGGAGTTCCTCTGGAGAGCCACAGGTTCCTCTAGCCCAGTTCCAGCCCCTACATCACATTGGTTCTTCTCCTGGACCCATACGGTGTGTCAGGATGTTTGAAATCAAATGTTGGCAAGCCTGTGCTTTACTACTGTATGTGTCTGCCCATTCACTTCAATTTGCATCCTGCCCTGTTCTAATAATTGCCAGGTCCTGGTGGAGGCCACTATACCGCTGAGGCCACTTATGCCTCCAGCGGCAGCAGTGGTCCCGTAAGTGCCTCCAAGTTGCACACCCCACCGAACCAGTCTGTGATGGTCTGTGATTCGGACTCGGAGGCTGAACCTGAGGAATCCCAGCCTGCACAGGATTCCCCGCCTCCAGAACAAGCTGAGCCGGGGCTGGGGCTTGAGCCTAAAGGATCCTCACCTGGGCTTGATCCTCAGGTATAGGCACCAGCTGACTCTGCTCTGGCTCCTGAGGTGATTGAGGACCCATTGCCTGCAGGTGCTCCACTCTCAGCCCCGTCAGGGGAAGCTGAGGTTGCCTCTGGGTCTGGTAACCCTCCAGCCTCTCCTGAGCTGCAGAGGCTCAGGGCAGAGAGGCGGAGGGCACTAAGTTCCCGCAGGAGGAGTGCTCGCCTCCAGGCCAGGAGAGGCGAGTCACCTGTGGACCGGGCCCCCCTATGCCTTGGGGCAGATAAAAGCCAACCAACCCCAGTCCCAAGTTGCGGGAGCAACATTGTTGGTAGCCAGTTCCTGCCTGCACCCTGTCCTGCTTTTCTGCCAGAGCTCCTGACCTCACCCGACTCCCTGTCTTGGACTCAGCTTCAGCTTTGATGGACTGCCTCCATACTGCACCCTTGACCTTGGACTGGACTCGGACCTTGCCTCACGGTTATCCCACAGGACCAGCACACAGTCTAGGGAACGGCCTGCTAACAGTGCCTCCATGTGTCAGGGACTGGGCAGAGGAGGAATGGTGGAGACTGCCTTCCCAGACTGACCCTTCCAGAGAAGAAGAACTGTTCGGAATCACAACAGGGGTTTGTGGGAGATCACAGCTCAGAGGCAGATGCGGGGAAAAGCTGGGAAATAATGGGAGAGGAGGAAGAAGCAGCAGCAGATGGGTGACAGCTGACAGACACAGTGTCTTTAGAAAGCATTTCAGATCTCCATTCTTCCAGAACCCGGCAAGCATGAAAGTAGGAGAGCAAAGAGCTCAGAGGCAGAGGGCACTTTTCAGCACCCATAGTGAAGATGCATGGCGAGGGAGGGGGACGTAGACTCACTTGGGGCAATGCTGCTATTCCAAGAGGCTGCATTCCCAAGCCTCTCTCTGTGAATATTGAATAAAAAGCAGTTGGTAAGAACTTTTTCTGGTCTTATCCATTCCTGGCAACCTGCCGGGGGTGTGTGTGTGTGTGTGTGGATCCTCTGCCGCCTGACACCATGCTCTCTGAATCAGAACTGCTTTAAGGACAGTTTGAACCATGTTTCCAATTGTTGCCCTGGACAGTAAAGCACACAACAAAGTTCTTGAC